CAACACAAACATACATCGAATGATAATCTTGCAGTTTATTTCTTTCGACTTTTAGTCAAACGAAAATGGAAAGAAAATATTTTCTCGCATAGATGCATTTGAACATTAGTAAGACAGTGTTTATTCTTTTGCACAAACTAGTTAGGAGAAATTGMCCAAAAAACAAAAAATAAACTAATATCGTTTTACTTCAAAAAACCTAATAAAGTTCATAGGCATTTTAAAACATAATCTATGCAATCGTTGCAAATAAACCCTTAAAATTAACTTGAATTTCATTGCCATGTCCTGTCCAAATTTATTTTCTCACAAACAAAAGTTGCTTCCTTTCATATAAAACATCCAATCAAAACTTCTTGTTATCAATAACGGAGGATAGATTCTTCTTAATCATTCATATTGAATTTGAGCATGTTCTAGATTTTTTCATTAGTATGTCACTCTTTTGTAAATGAGACGATCATGACTTACCTAAATTTTCAAATTTCTTTTGCATATTTGAATATTGGGTTCAGTGGATTTCTTTTCTCAACAACAAAAATAAAGAAGAATGTGAATGTGAAAGAACCTTAACTTGTATTTTTCGAACCTCCAATTGTAATCGTTTTTTTCTGTCCGTAGTAATTTGTAATCGTATACATCGTTTCATTCACAGACTCGTTTGTGTACCCGTTGGATATTTAAAAAAAAAAAAAAACTGAGGTTGATTATAACAAGAAATAAAGAAATGAACACAACTGGGTTATCTCATTTTGCATATCCTAAGACATGAACATACATAATATATAGCCTTAGGATCACTAAAATAACATAAGAAAAACAACACAAGGCTTATTTATAATGAGCAATGGTGAAATGATGATGCCTCATTAGTAACCATCAGTATAAACAACAATGGGACTTCTGACGTTATGTGTCCCATCAGACCAGATTAGGTATGCAGAACAAGGCAATTTTGAGTTTAGATCGCTGCCTGTAACAGTAACCCTAAAAGATTGCTTCTCGTTCACATCCTTAAACGACAGAACACTAGGCGTGACCTTGACGTTAAGCTTAGATCCGTGACCGTCGACTACCTTTGATTTGTAGGTAGAGTTTGGCGGTCCAACGTTAGTCAAGGTTCTGTTGAAAGCCACAGTGAAGTTACTGTCAGATACCGACAGTTGAGCCGTCATTGAAGGATAGTTGAGGTTTCTTGGTGAGATATCTTTGTCTTCCGTGCAAGTAACGTTTTCACCGGAGATGATTCTAAGGATTTTTGAAGTGTAGTTCATGCCACAGAGAAAGGCAATGTGGTCTGCTTTGTCCAATTCATAGACAAGTCCGGGATTTAAAGCGGCTATTGGGTTGACATGTCCAGCTCCATAAGCAAATTCGGTCGATGCAAGCCCGGTTCCAGTAGCATTAACCGGCCAAGCTGCAAACATTAGTAAAAAAAAAAAAACAAGAACAGAGTGAATATTACTTGTGTGAAAAGAAAGTAAAAATTATGATATCGTTTTCGATTACCGGTTGTCATGATGGCAGATTGAATCATGGAAGGAGACCATTTAGGGTAAAACGTTTTGACATACGCAGCCACGCCTGCAACGTGCGGACAAGACATGGAAGTTCCGGAGAGAACAGAGTACTTCACATGTCTGGTGTCCTTTTCAGATGGTTCACCATCAGGTGAAAATGCCGCGAGAATCTCCACTCCTGGTGCTGTTACATCCGGCTGCAATTCATCCACCAATCGTCTCTCAGACCGGAGAAAGAAAGAGAACCGAAGTTCATAAATGTTTTGTACAAATTTACCTTGAGAATATCAGCAGCAATGGTGTTTGGACCGCGAGAAGAGAAGGAACCAACAAGAGGAGATGTCCGATTGAAGATTGCTTCAGTTTTTAGAACGGTCGCACTTGGAGAACTGAGAAAACAAAATCAAAGATTTCAGGATATAAATGGAGAATCTGGAACAAATAGATAAAATCATAGAGAAGATGACTGCTTACTCTGCGGACTTAATGTAAGAGACGAGAGAATCAAAGTCTTTTTCTGTTAAACCAGAAGCAGGTAAAGGGTGAATGAAGGCAACGTCTGGTTTAGGGGTTTTAAAGATTAGTGCAATAGCTCCAACTGATTCAGCTACTTTCAAACCTTTCGTACTACCGCACACCAAAATCTTTCCCTTTACAAGGGATGCTTTTAGACACTCTGGCTCACAAAGCCTGAAAATAATTCATCCTATCAGTCATCATCACACTAGAAATATGAAAAGAAAGCAAATTCTAGGTTAACATCATTATTAAGAGTTTCTTGGGAGGGAAGTTACCCTGCGCTTTCAGGATCGCAAACAGAGGAAGCAGCGGATTTTCCGTACACTAGAGGGTACTTCTTTCCTTTCATATCGAAAGCGTTAACTGACTTCCCCTGTTAATGAGAAGTAAAGATGAGTCATTGGTAACTAAAGAGACAAATATTACTATGATGATAGAAATAAGAACATTTCTTGATACTTACGACAAGTGTCTTGCCGTTTCCGAGAACAACTTTAGTGACAAACCCACGGTTCGTTGTGCTGGCTGCAACGGTTAACATCCACGGCGCTACAGCGCAGACCGTGCTAGCTTGCGGACCGCTGTTACCAGCTGAACTAACAGTGAGAATCCCTTTGGCCGTAGCGTGAAAAGCCCCGATCGCGATCGGGTCATTTTCAAACGTCCGCGCGGTTTTATCCCCGATAGAGATGGTGATGAGGTCCACACCGTCAGCAATCGCGTCATCGAAGCCAGACAATAGAGCTTCCGTGGTACACCCTGTTGGGTTGCAGACTTTGTAAGCGGCGATTCTAGAAGCCGGAACGCCTCCTCTCACCGTTCCATTGCCGATTCCAAAGAAGCTTGTATCCCCGACTGTGTTTCCAGCCGCCGTGGACGCGGTATGTGTACCGTGGCCTTCAGTGTCTCTAACACCTTCACTTGTGTAGTCTCTTGCCCCAATCAACTTGCTGAAAAAGTATAACAAACAGATCAACAATATATTAAACTCATTTTTATTTGTAACTAGAAGATTTTATATCTCTAGCTTTGACAAACAGATATTAATCTTTAAAGAGAGAAATTAATTTAAGAGAGATTACTTGTTGCATGTGAAGTTTTCACCACCGGAGCAAACACCTTTCCATTTCTTAGGAGGAGGACCAAAGCCTATGTCGGAAAAGCTCTGAGATTCTGGCGTGATCCCACTATCGATAACTCCGATAACGATATCACTTTCCACGGTTGGATTCCTCTTCGTCCTCTTTCCTTCCTTTAATCCCATGAAGTCCCAAGACGTCGTCGTTTGCAGTTGTAACTTCTTGTTTGGGAACACAGACACAACTCCCTCCATTTCTATCAACACAAAAAGGGTTTAAACTTTTAACCTTTCAACATAAAATGTGTCTCGGTCGAAGAACACTCACCAGCTACTCGTTCTCGTTCTGATTCGGTGAGTCGGGCCGCGAAACCGTTGAAACTCCTCTTGTAACTTCTCACCAAACGACCTTCGATCGAACTAGAAAGTATTTCACTTATTAGAGTCTTCATAACAATATTTTAAAATAATTATTAACTAATCATGATTAGAGAAACAATTAATTAAATTGCACCTTTCTCCAGTGACCTCTTGAAGAATACTCATGTGATTGGACATTGGTGTGTAGTCCGGTCGAGAAGGAAGTGAACCCATGTAGACGATATACACCTTCATCGATAATCATCAACATTATCATCATGTATTAATGGATGGTCATAAGGAAAAACAAGAGATCATGATAATAAATCAACAATATTATGATGATCATACCTGTTTATCTTGAGGATCATCTGTGATCGCTGAAGCTGAACTCAAGAACAAGACAAGGAGACATGAGAGGAGGCAAGAGGAAGCTGCTCGTAATTTCGTCATTTTCTTTAAAAACAAAATTAAAGGTTACTGTAATTTTCTTTTGATTTCTATGGAGATCAACATGAAAAGATGTATATTATATAAGAGAGATCATACATGCACCGGGTCAAATTAAAAGAATCTAAATTCAATTCCTCTTTGATTTTGTGTAATTATTTCTTATAAATAAAATCAAGTCTTACCATACTTAATTCTATTGGTATCTCAGTATCTGTATCTATTAAATTATAACATTGTGTTCACATTTTTAGGACTTATATCTAGGGATTTTAATTAATTAGTGGAATAAAAAATATTGACTCAATTTCTCTTTGATTTTTGATTTTCATACTGAAAACTATATAAAAAAAAAAATTAGATGGATAGGCTATAAATATTACAATTAAATGTTTTTTCCACTTTCATTTAAGTTACTACCATTCATGAGGATAAGAAGGAACAAAAAAACCATTTATATAAATTATTTTCCACGTGGTAAAAATATATTGGAGTTTAGTTTAATTATTAGGGCAGTTAAATTAGCTGATATGGTGAATGAACTTTACATATTGTCACATGAAAGTTAACTATTCGAAGTCAATGTATTTAACCTTGATCAAGGGCAATTGACCGCGAGGAATCTACCACAGTAATAAGGAACTGTGAGAAATGTGTCCGAAACGCTTAATGTTTTGTTTTTCTTTTTTGCAAACAACTTTGATGTTTTTTGTATCTAAAAAAATTGCAGTTTTTACCAAATCTACTGGTTACATATTAATATTTTGAAACATTAATACTTTATAAGTTTTATGATATTCAGAATATATATATATCTTATTACATGCACAAAC